TACACCACTATCATATATGAATGTATATTTGTAGATGTACTGATTGAAGAAATTAATTTTATAGAAGGCTTTGTCAATGACAGATTCGCTTCTAACCAGCCAGTTTTTTTTATACAAACGATCATTTTTTCCTTTTTGTTTTTCTCTTTTAAGTTCTTCCACATATTCTGTATGTATGATGTTTCTTTAATCGTGCGTTTGTAACCTGAAGATAGGAATCGACCGTATTCTACGATTGTAAATTTTTTCTTATTTTTTTTCTTTTTTTAGTCGGGCCACCGTGTCCGTGTAACAATAATTAATCGTGTCGACGTTACGATAAGAGGGAAAAGAAGAATTGTTTTACGCATTGTTATATCGTATACATATATTTTCGTTTTTTTTTTTCTTTACTGAGATTTTATGCACATTGTATAATATGGGAAATTTTGTGCATAGTTGACGATAGAGCGTGTACAGGGGCGAATTTCGTGTCGCGACGAAATCACCGTGCAAAATCTGACGAGTTTTGTTTCTTCGATTCACGATGTACAATATTCGACGACGCGAGGAAAAAGCGACCGGCGAATTCGTTCGAGAGGACGAAACGGGAAAATTTGAACGACGACGAAACGATCGATCGATCGACGAATGTGAGAAAACGGTGCATCGTAAAACTTTATCACGCGAGAGAAACGTGAGAAAATCGCGTTAAGGATCAATGTGCAATTAACGGAAGAGAAAAAAAGAAACAATGCGAACAGTATATCTCCGCACTCGTTGGTCAATACTGTCACACATACGTAACGCGTAACACGCCGCTTTTTGGCATACAGCCTAACCTAACCTTAAAAAACAAAACAAACAAACAGTGAACTGTCTCATTAGGTCGTAACATCGAAGGTTCTATTTAAATGGAAAAAAAAAAGAAACGGGCAGAAATTCGACTCGTACGTTGCGATGAAAACAAACTTTTGTACACTCGCGATCGCGATTATTCTATAGTGGCAGCGTATTAGTAGAGAAATCACGAGAAACAAACCAGGCATTTTTGTTCTTCCCTTTTCCCGATTCTGTTTCGATCGCTGCGTTGACAGTGTAAAGGAATGAGAAAATAAGAAGAAAGAAACGAATGAAAATCGAGAAAGAAAGAAGAGAACGTACTCGTTCACGTTTCTCGAGGATCGATATTTGTATAAGTACCTTCTAGTACAAGTTGCTAATTAATTAAAATACGTCGTAGCTTTCTAAGTGGCCGGTCTTGGAGATCTCGGCACAGTTTTCAAACAATGACAAAACGAGGAAGCGCAATAGTATTCTTGGGTTATGTGTAAAAAGGAAAATAAAGGGATAAAAGCTAAAAAGGAGAGGGGATACGCCGCGTTGCGTGTACCCTGCGATAGATGGACGAAGGAGAAAAAAAAAGAAAATAAGGTAAAATAAAGAGAGAGGAAGGAAAGTCGTAAAAAAGGAGATCGTAGAAGAAAAATTAGAGAAACACGGTAGACGCAAAACTGACAGCTTTGCTCCAATTAGATTTTAACGACGAATGACAAAACGAGAAAAATTGCGAAAAAGCCAAAAAAAAGAAACAAATAATATTAATAATGGGAAGAGTTAGATGACGTCGCCGCGTCCATTTAATGACACGCCATCCGATCCATTTGAAACGAGAAATAAAAAAAAGAAGAAAAAAAAAAAACAAAGAAACAGTACACGCGAGAATAATTAAAAAAAAAAAAATACGACCACCAACGTCAAAGTGTATCACATTTCGAGAAATATATGTATTTGTTATTGTTTTCATTGAATTATATTGTTATACCT